AAGTTAATTGAATTATTTAATTTACTTGACAGCGTCAGGGGCCGCCGGCGCTGACCGATTTAAATTATTTATGCTATATACTAATAAAATAGTTAGTTTAAGTCATTCAATTGCTTTGCATCGTTTGCACAGGCAGACCCCCTTTTGCAAATTTATATAGTTCAAATAACTTAAATGAAACAAACAAAGTTGAAATACTTTGGCCAGGCCCCAGGAGGAGGGATTGAACATCTATTGAAGGTACCTAGATTAGCAACCCCGCTTTGCTAACTTAGATGACTGATGACTTTTAAACAACATTTGAGCTATATTAGCAAGCCACCTGTCCTACGTAAAACTATTCAAACTAAAGTTTTGTGTGTGTTAATATTCTGGATCGGGGGGGGCCCTGGAAATGTTCTAAGATCTGTAGATAATGCAAATTGTTTACATTTGTCAGGGGCTTCAAACAAAACATCTACATTCATGTAAGATATTGAATTGTTTTAGGGCCTCCAACAAAATTAATGGATTGATTATGTTTGCTAATATTGTCTAAGTTATTGACAATGGAATCTTAAACACTAGCAACCAATGCATCTTAAACTTCCCAACATGCACCCGTCCCTTTAGGAATAATTAGCATAATTCAAATAGTTAGACCAACCAGAATATGAAATCCCCAAAAAGCACGGCCTCCCCCCTTGGGAATTCTTTGAATAGTTAGAACTATGATAAGTAGGATAATCAGAAAAATGAATATTGAATTCCCCCAAAGGCACCCGCCACTTTGGGAATATGTAAACAATTAGAACCAACATTATTTGGAAATTCCTCAGAAGGAAGCCGTCCGTGGAAAAGTGAGCTGGAATTCCTCAAAAGACACCCGCCCTTTCGGAATAAGTATGACAATTAAACACGCATGAATTTGGCATTCCCCAAAAGGAACCCATCCCCTAGGGATAAAGATAATTAGAACCAGAACGAATCCGGAATTATCCAGAGGTATTTAGCATAATTATAAGAGGTAGAATATATAATTACAACCACATGAAGCAGAACCCCCCAAAATGCACCCGTCAAGTTGGGAATAATTGAAACAATAAGGAAAAACCTGGAATTCTCCCAAAGGCACCCGTCCCTTTGTGAGTAATTAGAACTAGCGAGCAAGTGACTCTGAACTTCCCAAAATGGGACTCGTTTGTTTGGGAGTAATTACAATAATTAGAACAAGCATAATAAGTAGAACAATTAGAGACAAAGTGAGAAAGGGACGTCCCTTTGGGAAAGATAAGAACAATTAGTGTAATTGGAAGAACATGAATCTTGAATTCCCCAAAAGGGACCCGTCCATTTGGGAATAATTCGATCAATTACTACAATGAGGGACACATAAACCTGGAATTCCGCGAAGGGCTCCCATCCTTTTTGGAATACTTATTGCAATTAGAGCAAGCGTGACTCTGGAATTCTTCAAAAGGCACAATTCTATTTGGGAGTATTTGGCATTGTGAATTGAACGATCAGCGAACAATGAATTTGAATGCCCCCAAAAGGCGCCCGTCCCTTTGGAAATACTTAGAGTGCTTAGAATACGTATGATAAACAAAGAAATATCAAAACATGAATGTTGAATTCCGAAACATGGCAGCTGTCCTTTTGGAACATGGGAACATTTAAAACAATTAGAAACACATGAAGATGGAATTCCCCAACCAAGTTTCTCCGATTTGGGAATAGTTAGAACAAAAAGAACAATGGAGGAATATTGAATCCACGATTCCCCAAACCGCACATATCCCTTGTGGAACACCTATGATAATAATAATGCAACTGAATCTGAAATTCCCCTAAAATGCACTCATTCCTTTGGGAATATTTAGAGTAGTTCGATTAGTTCTGATAAGTAGAACAATTAGCAAAAAAAGAAAAAATAGTCAGAACAACTACAATATGGAATTCTCCAAGATGCACGCGGCCCTTTGAGAATAAATTGAATTGTTAGACGAATTCTGAACAGTAGGGTAGTCAGAAAAGGTTAATCTTAAATTCCCCAAAGGTATCTGACCCCTTGGGAATACTTAAGTAATTCGAAACACAATGAATCTGAAGTTCCCCAAAAGGAAGACGCCCATGCAAAAGTGAATCTGGAATTCCTGGCATCCGCCCCTTTCGGAAGATGTATGATAATTGGAAGACACATTATCGTGGAATTCCCTAAGGGGCACCCCTCCATTTGGAATAATTATTGTAATTAGAGCAAGCCTCTCTAATTGCCCCATTTCCTGTTGATCAATCGCACAATTTGACCGTGGCTAATATGGGGTTGTCTCCAAATGGGATATGGACCCCCGACAAAAAGGAAGGTTGTTGTTTTCTTTTGGCTTCCTTTAAAAAGCAACAAAAAGGCACCAACTCACAGCAATTCCAATAAACACACAACCACACCTAACCTTGAGGTCTGCTGACAATCCAAGCACCAGGGATAGGGGGTTCACAGGGGTGTCCTTTTTAGATTTTGGCAAAGATTTGGCTGTGGTTTTGATCAAGCCCACCCTCCCCTTACCCTTTTCCCCATCCGCTGCACCCGCCCTCCACGTCCGCCCCTCACAGAACAAGGCATGCTGTGAGCCATCTACTTCTGTGGAGCCTCGAATTTGCCCATGGCTTTCCTTTGCCCAAGAAGTCTCTTACACACATGTTCTCTAGTGAAAACGCCCGCTACATACCCTTTCCCTTCCCAAACGCCCGCTACATAAAGTTACTTTACTTAACAGGATCTGCTACCTAACATCCCTTTACTCGAACAGTGTGCCACATAGTTTCCCTGCACCCAACAAGGTTTGCTACATCACTTTCCTTTACCCAAAATGTCTACCACATAATATAGATTGCCTTTACCCAACCGTTCCGCTACATAGCTTGCCCTTACCCAAAGGCTTTGCCAACTAGGCTTTTGTTTACCCACCGCGTTTGCTATATGACTGTCCTTTAGCTAAAACATCTGCCAGAAGTTGTGCTTTACTCAAGACATATTGTGCTAGAAGCACTAGAACTCAGATCAATATGTTATGAAACATACAGATGTGCAAAGCAATGTGCTAGACACACATTAGCAACCATGGGTCAGACTTTTCTACACATATACTAAACTGATGCTGGGAATGCTATTCCACACACATGATTAACACATTCATGCTAGTCAAAGTGGCTACATGCTAAAACAAGCATGCTACAGCAATGCCACACAAATTTCCATGCATACTTGAAACCAACTACATGTGTACTAGAACATGATAGTCAACACAGAACTCAAATAACAATAGATGGAATCTCAAGCATGTGCTAGACAACCACCAGAACAAACGCACAACGAGCACTTGCACAGCGTCGTGACCTCTTCCCTAAGAGGGGTTCCACCCTTCAACAACAACAAGTACCAACTTGTATGTGTGATTTGCTATTGTGTGGCTACGCCCTTGTATAAATGTGTCGGAATTGTGCTCTGAGAGTGTGACTGTGTGAGTGTGGTTCTGTGGTTTGGCTGTGTAGGTGTTTGTGTGGGCATGTGATGCAAGGTGCATGGTGCATGATGAATAAATGTGCACGGATTAGTTCTTGAAAAGCTATGCAGCTGTGTGATGGCACTGGAGCTGGACTCAGCCTCACCTTGTTGGCGCGACTGCGTGGGCACGTGTTTGCACACGTGTGCGCATGTCATGGGCTGTGTGTGTGTGCGTGTGTGGGTGGGCGGTGTTTGTGTTTGTTTGTTTGTTTGTTTGTGTGTGTGTGTGCGTGTGCACGCGTGCGTGCGCGTGCGCGCGTGAACGTGTGCGTGTGCGTGCGCGCGTGAACGTGTGCGTGCGTGCGTACGCGCGTGCGCGTGTGTGTGTGTGTGTGTTGCATGCTTGCATACCAAAACCTTGGCGCAATGCACTTCGCCATATTGTACGCAATCTTCCCAACCACCCCCCCCCCCGGCGCGTTGCATGTGCAATGATCATACATGCCAGCCCAACCCCTCAATTGCATCCCCTCTAGTATCCTGAAGTGACGTTTCAACAAAAGTGACTTTTCACTGCACTTTGATGATGGCACAAAAATCTATGTGACTACAAAACCAATTTTAAGCAAGTGCTGGTCAATTGCCGGCACTTCACCCGGGACTCCAATTACCGGCCATCGGGTGGGGCCTGGCTGTTTTGTGTCTTACTCTCATCGTTCGGGGTTTTGGAAGCAAGAACTACTCAGGGGGCGCGTCCCTTCATACTTCCCAGGCGCGGGGTTACTTCAGCATCGCATCCGCTTTCGAAGGGCTTCCCCGAGTTTCACGCTCCGCCCCTGGTGTTTTTGGCCAAAACCCACCAGGTGTGCTTCTTGGGACATACCTGTTCGCTACCGGCCTCCCCAAACGAATTCCACGCTCCAAGTTTGGGTTTGGCCAGGATCGAAACACGAAAGAGCTCCACAGCCCCCTTTGACTCCTTTGCTATTGCAATTAGCACACCAAGCTTTATTAGTACTGTGGATGGACGAAACCCTGCACCACCTAAGAAACCCTAGAATGATGATTCGCCTGTAACTGCCAACAAACCATGGTTTACCTCGGTTCGGTGCAAGATTTCGTCCACCCACAGTAGGGGGCAGCAATTACACAGCATTTACATACACCTGCCTTCAAGGGCTGGTTGCTGTTCATAGCCCGCTCCCCGCAAAGGCCCTGAAAGGGGGTTCATCCCAGGTCCCAACATCCAGTTGTTAGGTACGGAAAGCAACAACCTGGATGCCCTTTTCTGGAACTGGCAGCATCTAGCCTTCAAACCCATAGGTGACTGCCCTGGCAAATAAAATGAAACCCACCTAAACCAGTGGAACCCATCTATTTCTAGCCAACCTCACCGATCAAAAGGACACCTATGTTCAATCCAACCACCAGGTAAACCAGGAATCGCCATCGATTTGTCTACCAAAAACAACCAAAACGGACACCTATGGCATTCAAAGCTAGCCAGGCAAGCCACCTCCATGAGTCATCCTGCCCGACCATGCTTTGAGCACACTGCAGCACGAAGACATGCCATCATGCCAGATCTGTGTTGTGGCCAAGTGAACCTTGAGCGCCTGAAACCGGAGCCTCGACTTTTCGTTCTACTGGTACTGGAGCATAGTGAATGGCCCTTTTTTTGGCCGGGACCCCTATTTGGGTAGGTCTCGTTTGGGGAAACCACGAGGAAACCCGGGGCCATTTTGGGGGGATACCCCTAAAGAAAAGACACAAACAAACAGAACCACCCGCTGGGGGATGGCCGATTTTTTGGGCGGGGGTGCGAAGGGGGTCACATCCCTGTGCCTTGCCCAAGCCCTGCAAGGCGCTTCCAGCGCTGGGATGGCCCGAATGGCTTTGGTGAGTGCTTCTCAACGTACTCTCCTAACATGTTTTTTTTCCTCCTTGAGTATCATCCAAAAGGCGAATGAACACCACAATTTTCAGCAAAAGATAAATCAACAAACCCTCCGGATTCTGGAACTGTTCCCCTATGGTGAGTAATGAAAAGATGACAAATCTGAGACCTCTGCGGATGGGGCTTGAAGTAATCTTTGGGATAGTCCAAGTCAAGACCTAAGATCTTGGGGCGAACACTTTGGACGACTTTGGACCGGACGGTCCCTGCTAGTCGAGCGCCCAACTTGCGACTCACACGCCGGAGGCACCGACTCAGACACGAGCTTCGAAACGAATGTCCGTCCCGTTTGGGGCCGTGTACAAACGCGCATTTGATTTCGCCCAAAAAGTGGGCCAGGCTCATCGCAAGCCGGAAGTTGAGCCTGAAGTCGAAAAGGTCCGCCTGGCGGCCTAGCGCCTGCCGCGACCTCGAATTGGCGCCGGTGCCCGCAACCCACTCCCTGCGGGCGTCCCGCTACATAAAAGTCCACCACCCAACAAAAGTATAGAAGAAAACCCTTGTGCAACGCGCATGCGCGCCGCACAGCGCACTTGCTCGGCGCGGCCCTTCGCAGTGCTTTCGGGCACAATGCCCCTTTTCCCGCGGCCAATTGGAGGGGCTTTACCCTCCAAGAAACAATCATGGAAGCTGAAAGGGACCAGCAGCCTATACCGTACCCTCAACCATGAAGTGCATGTTTGCCTCCGTTTGGGTTCCAAAGCACATAACATAACTCCTTCGTACATAGTATGTCCTCAACAAGCAAGACCCTCGGGGCATATGACAATCCTTGACGTGGGGGGCCCTCAACCTAACTTCTCCATCAATCTGCAGAACCCAACAGGGTAAGTGAACATGGTCCTGCCCGACATGGCAGGAGAAATTGAAATTTGGTGGTGAACAGAAATGCAACCCATATACGCCTAAGGCGTGACTGGTTGATTACCTAGGTTCTGAGTCGAGAATCGGCCAACAAAGCAACTGGCGTGCTGAATCGATGACCATGCGGGTCCCTGCCACTTGGGTCCCGTTCGACAAAATAAAGAATCAGACCACGAGCGCGGGCGTCAATTTCAAGATGTTCAAGACCTGCGGTACGTCTTTCAGGATAATTTCATCTGTCAAAGACCAGAAAAGAAACAACACACAGCCACTATATCAGATTGTGAATGTACCCTATTCTCACCTCATCTTGTTCACAGGTTTTGGTTGTTTGGCTTCTCTACTTGAGGACACGACACACCTGAATAAGGCGCAGTGTCCCGCCGATGTTTGAGGCTCAGGCACACAGGGCATTCGGGGTAACGGTCCACCTGACCCCGCACAGCGGTGTCCGAAGCTCTGGTTTTTGGGCCGTGAGGTTAAGAATACGAATTCTAGCAGGCGGGGTTTGAGGCTTTGAGAAGAAGAAAGCTGGATAAAAAACCTAAAACAAACGCAGGCGCTGGATCTCCCCCAAATCAACAGTTCATCAATTGAAGGTCAGAGAGGACATGGCGCGGGATCCCACGATTTCCAAGGGGCCAAAGGCATGGCCTCCATTTGTCCAATCTTCGACATTGAGGAAGGTGTCACGTAAGTGTTGCTTCAAGAAAACTGGGCTGTCCATCTAGTCTGATCCCCTTCTAAAAGTGAATAACTTGTGGGGTAAATGGAACCCCAACCACTAAACCAACTAAACACCTAAAAGCAAGCCAAGGGAATGGCTGGGAACTTACAAGAAAGCCAGACGTGAAGGAATCGATCCCCTCTTGTGGGTGGCGACATGTTTTTGGTGGAGGTGGTGATCCACTGGCTTGGGGAGACTTGTCTCCCTCCGATGTGTTCCTCTTGGATTTTGCTCCGCATGCCGCTCGAGCGGCATGTGCTACCAGGGACCCTTTCGGCGAATGGCCTTAAGCACGCCAGCATGAAAACGTCATTTGGAGGGACATGAAGGCGAGGAACACGCTTGGGGACAAATCTGGAGTAACGCCAAAAGCACTAGAAGAAGATTCCCCGGATTTGATTCACAGCGGCATCTGAGCGGGTCTTGCCTGAGCCAAAAATACAACCTGTTGGATTTTGGAAAATCGCATAGTAAGGAGTTTCCCAAAAGGATATTCCTCTAAACGTGGCGAGTGTTTAGGCTCCATGTTAAACTGTAGGGGAGTAAGCCTCCCAGTGATATAACCCGGAAATTATCATGTTCTGAAAGAAAGTCCCCTTTTTCAGACCAACAGAAATATATTCTTAAAGAAACGGAAGGGGAGTTGTTGCGTTTCCAAACGCCGCAGGCGATTCTTGTTGTTGTTGTTGTTTTTTTCGGGCTTTGAAGACATGGCGGTCGCGACTCTCCGTGTTCGTCCGAAACGACCTCGGGGTCCATCTGCGAGACATCGAGCTCGGTGGGGGTCTCACGGCCTGAGTGGTTTGGAGCCCGCTGGTTTGGAGTTCCCTGCCCGTTTACTCACAAGAGCCAGGGGCTCAAATCTCCAAACCAATCAAAGCCCGGGTGATTAAAATGGCCGTAATCCCAGAACCAGGCTTCAAGAATTAGGGAGGCGGCCGCTTTCCTCATTCTTGTTGGGACTTTCCCTTACTAACCTTCATCCACCCGGGTTTGAGTGTGTCTTAATTGGTGGTTTGGAGGTGTTGCAGGGTTTCCCATGATTCCACAAGAACCAGCGACCGTTCAAATCCCCAAACCAATCCAAAGCACCAACCTACCGGGTTACTTGCAATCCGTCGGAAAAAGAAAACGGCAACCGGCCGCTTCAGGGCACTGCAATGCAAATACACACACCCAAAGATAGCATGCGAGGGACTGGTGGCAGTGACCAGTTTGGGAAGATCACAATGGAGATCAAAACTAGGTCCTCCAGTAGAGAGGTTAGAAATAAGGGTGCCCTTTTCTCTGTAGTCTATTTTAGTAAGGGAACCCTCCCCCCAAAAAAGGGGTGAGAAAGGGCACTACTGCGGGGCCTAGAAAAGGAACATTGGCCCTTTGAAGATGAGCTCCGCTAATTCTCAACGCCTTTGAAAGTGTTCGATCCCCCCAGCATTTCCAACCAACCCCAGCAGCCTGTCTCACCTCCAGATGTTTAAAACTTGCATCCCTCAGACGCTCCCAGAGATACACAAAACCGACAAGGATCATAAGATCGACGCCGATATGGTCCCTTGAATTCTTGTTCCTTGACCTGATCATCCATCTAGGCCAGGCATGTTCACCCCAGTTCTCAGTTGAACAATTCGATCATTCACACCACTATGTGTTTGTGTGAGCGACGGGCAACATCCTTTGTGCCCAAACGCACGTCACATCGGAGTTCTGACATCCGATGGCACATGCAACAGGCATTGACTTGTGGGTCTCAAGTCATCCATGCAACTCTACCACGACAGATAAGAAACTCAGCATACCGCAATAGTAGTGCCAGTCAAGATATGATTGTAAGTCTCTATTTTGATATCAACTATATCATAATGGAAGTCAAATTTCGACCATATTTATTTCCTAGAAACCATCTTTTAGGCCGCCCCTATTCTTTGACTCCTAAGATCCCATGCCCCTTCCCTTCCGTTGGCGCCCCGGCATGAGATATCCCCCAGGCGCACCTGAGGGCGGTCTTTGGCGACACCCGGCATCCAGTTGCTTCCTCAAGGCCCCTTGAAGCAAACCATCCAGAAAACTAAAAAGCGGCAAAATACCGCAAAAAGGTAAGCAGGAAAAATGCAAACACATCCTGACACAGACTGCAGACTTACACTCCAAGCCTGCGCGTACCATTCTGCTTTCACTTTGCCATGCGGGCAAGCACGGGACACCCATAAGCAAGGACTCAAAACCAGGGGCTGCTTGATGCGACCCATTTGGTTCGCATGTAGCCCTGCTAGGGTCTTCAGCAGCCATAAATACAGCCAAATTACCATCAACACTTGGAGGATACTCACCAACATTCAATGTCTTTGAGGCGTACAAAAAATATTGAACGCGGCTCGCTAAAGGTGGCTCGTGGCCAAGGCCCTTTCGATACAATAATCTCTTCCCCCTATTAATAAATACGCCCCCCCCCCCTCCCTATTATAAATAAATCCTCCCAAAAATAGTTTTTTTTTTAATTGGGGTTTTCGGGGTTGGGTTTTTTTGCTTTTCCAACCATGTGAGGGTTCGCGTAGGATTTGGAGGAAATGGATTGAATTGTAAGGTCCGCGAGTAAGCGGTTTAATAAGGAAATTTCATGTATCATTCTGTTTGTTTTTCAGTTTACTGGTTGTTTGTTGGCAGCCAGGCAGGTTAGCCAGCATGTATGGGGGAGAGACAGTCGCAGCTTAAAAGTGGGGCTGGAAGCTTGTTAAAAGTGCCCCCTAATAAGGATTCCAAGACTTTAGTATTGGTTTAGTATTGGCGCAATTAAAAATCAATTGTGCGGAGTGGAAATCTGGTCTCGGGCCCCGGATTTGCATTTATTATTAATGGGGGTCATTCATTAATTGGGGGAGGAGATTAGGACTATTCAATAGGACGCCAAAAGGGGTGGCGTCTGATCTAGCATCCAAGCAACCAAGCAAGCACGCAAGCAACCAGCCAACCAAACAACCAGGCAGCCAACCAGCGACAGCCAACCAACCAACGAACCAAACAAGCAAGCAAGCAAGCAAGCACGCAGGCCAACTAGCCAACCCAACCAACCAAGCGAGCGAGCCATGTCAGCCTGATTGCCATCCCCTTCCTATGCCCACCCACTGGCCGAACCCTCGCTGGGTCTCGCGGCCCAGTGACGGCGGTCTGCGAAGGGTGGCAGCTTCTCAAGGCGGCCCTGGCGTTCCAAACGGGAAGCTTCGCGCGGCTTTGTGGGGACAAAGCCGAAACGAACAAGGATACGTCGCCAAACAAGAAGGTTCTACTCGAAACACATCCAGCGTGGCTTGGTGGCGAATAGAAACTGAACTCAACATTGCAACTCGTAAATGGTGGTGTCCAACTTTATGGTGCTGCAAAAGTGACATGTTTCAAATGCTTGCAACATGGAGATCTTTTAAGGAGCCCTGCTGAACTGGAGTGCTTGTTCTTCAAGATGGAAACCCGTCTCACGACCCCGAAAAACGCCAAGACAAAAACCATGGTTGTTTTTGCTGGCCAACGGGAAATCTTTCCTGAAACCGGCGGCAGATTTGTTTTTCCCATTGGCCGATCGAAGTCTGAAAGGAACCCATCCATTTTTCCAAAACGTCACCCGTGGTTGGTACCCTGTTCAGGTTGCTTTTCGGGTTGCTTAAGAAAACAACCATGTTGGGGTGTTCTTATTTTGACACATACGCAAATGGTGAAACGAAACACATCTGGAAAATGACCCGCAGCCCATGCGCTACCGGTGACAAGGGGTATCAACGTCCGAACTTCACCCAAGAAAAACTGAGCCTTCCTTGATGATAGGCGAGCGTCCCATAGGGAAACATGCCAACCAGATCTATCTGCCCGGCTTGGCGATAGACAAAGGGTGGGGTGGAAGGAAGGTGTTCAGCTTTAAGGACCGGCTCGCCTTGGCAGAATGTGATTTGTTTTCCCAGAAGCCGTTTTTTCTACGTCGTTGGCGACTGGCCTGGTAAGTTGTACAACCCTGTTGTGTGGGACCTTGTTGCTTCAGTAACTTCACTATTCAACAAGCCCCTTTTTTGAGCCTTGCCAGGTGTCTGTACTCAGTTGTGGAATCTAGAGAGATAAACGGCTTGCGTTTAGAGGGCCCAGTAGTTTCCAGAAAGCTCATTAGACGCCAGCCGCACAGCATGCTAAATCAATGTACACTGTAAACCATGGGAATACCTCCAGCATCGATATACTTCCATGCTCCCCGTTGATTTAAGAAGGAAGTAGTGATGACTGGTACAAGTCAGGTTCTTTAGTGGCACCTACCATGACCCTGTTTTGTGACCCTTCATTTACCAACCCATTTTGACTGACCCCTTGAGCGAATGGGTTGGTGGTTTGGGGGCAAGACGTGGAAGGCGTGCCATTGCTTGCAACAAGGGGGTGAGGCCATTCTTCCTAAAGGGGGGGGCCATTCCGGCCTTTTGCTGCAACCTGTTCTGGGATCTGTTTGCAGATCCCCTAAAGGCTTGGCTTTGAGCGGGTTCAATGGAACCCCCCGCTAAACCGAATACAAAGCTAAAAAAAAACTAAGGGCATATCTGGGATCCAAGCTTTGTGGCCCGCTTTTATTGGAAACGGCTTCAAAGCTTCGACTGCTTTTGGTGCGCGAACTTGAGACCCCTCCCTCCTTAGGCAGCTACCCAACCCCGTGACCCCTTCAGCAGACGGTGTTGCATGCAGCCCTCCACTAAAAACATAGAACCACGAAAGCAAACACACACACATATATATATATATATATATGGTCAGGCATATATGTATATATATATATGTATATATACACATTTTTGTATAACATGTATAACAAAGTGCCAGGAAAAGTAAAGCAACCGCTTTCCCACCGCTGGCTAGCGATTGGACCTGTCTTGACACATTCCTGGGCAAGAGCTCTCTCAATCAGAATATTGACGGTTCGTCCAAGCCATGGCATCGTCTACATTGAATTTGTGGCCCAAATGAGTAGCACAGCTCTTCAGTGCATCTTCACTCTTTACACCGCTTTTTGTTCGGGGGGCCCTCAAAAAAACAAAAACAAATGGCTTCGGTGAAACAGGGGTATCATCAAAAAAGGACACACCCATTCACCAGAGAACAGCAGTAGTGCCAGTAATGCTAACCACAAACGCTTCCACTGAGCCCTGAAGCTGACTTCACAGCTTTGGGTCGGTAGGTCAATCCACGCCTGCTGATACCACCAACGTCCCAACGGCAGCTTGGTGCGAGGATCGATGCCATCCTTGAGACAACACTGAAAGGCTTCAGTCAAAACCAGTTCAGTTCATGCGGGAAAAGCATGTATTTGCTCACGCTTGCAATTCTCTCAGGACTTTGCGTATGCACCTGGTCACGCACAGATACATTTGACCTCTGCTCTCAGCAACAACACTGTTGCAACACCATTAGCTGTCATTAGCTGTTTCGGAAAACTGGATGTCAATGCAATCAAGACTTGCTGGTGCTCAATAGGGAATGCCCCAGGAATTGGGGAATGATCTGGTTCTGGGGGCTCCCTTAAAGGAAAAACCACCAGTTGCTAACAGTTTACGGGGTTCAAACACCATTTCTCAAAAAACCCCCTATCGAATGGCGACCTCGCCTCGTGAAATTCTCGAAAACGCGCGGCGCGCGCGCGCTCGCTCGGCTCATGGCGGCCAGCTCTTTGTCGGTGTAGGGCAGTCGAACTCCCGTACAACGTCCTACGCGTGTTGCTGTCTTGCGATCGGTGAAATCGAAATCGGCCGGGAATGAGAACTCGAATGAACAAGTCGGGATTCCCATAAAGGAAAGCATGGGGAATGTTTTTGGGGTTATTCCATCTCTCCTTCCCTGCCTATCCCACCAGCAAGTTGTGACTTGGGCTGCGCAACTTGGGCTTTGGATGTTGGCCAAAAGCTGGCCTTTGATCAAACAAACACTCTGCTTCCCACCGAAATGGCCCGAAGACCCGAAAAAACCTAGCTAGTGGGGCACTACATTCTCTTCTTATTCCCCGCCGCAAGTGAGCCTTTGCAACTCTGCGGAGGTTTCCGCGTTCCATCCGATCAGAACACCAGAGGCATATGGCACCTGTGCCAGGGCCAAAGTGGTTGACGTAAACGGACACGGAAAATCGATCGGAGCCAAGCTGAAACCAGTGGAGCCCAGCTACTTCCAAGGAAACTTACGGAGACCTGAGTCCAAGTGAACACATGGTCCTCATATTTGGACACCTCTGGGTGCCCTCAAAGTCACCCCATGAAGCCCAGCCGAGCAACCATAGAGCCTTTCGTGGACATCAAATTAAGGTGATGATCCACGTTTTGTACATACACCTATAGGACATATTTATGTATATATACATATATGTTCTGTAAAACCCCCACATGAACAAAGTTGACCTCCTGCAAAAACAACACACACACACACTTGTCATCAGCTTGTGGCTCCCTTCTAGCCCCGTTTCCAGCACCCCAAAAAACTTAAGTTCACGTCGCTTTCGGAGGCCAGTCCTGGCCGGGGGTCGTGCCAAAGAGGCATCTCATCCAAGATCTCACACCAGTCATTCAGACCTCCCGGTCGGGAGAAAGAAACCGACGGAATTTACGTGATTCACACACTGCAGCCCCTTGGTTCGAGTCTTGAGTTGGACCTGTTTTCTTTGAGTTTTCTTTTTTTTGAGCATAGGTGTGCTGTTAGGGGAATAGGTGGCCCTGGTAGATGATTAAACCCACCAGGTAAACCAGGCCATCTATTTTTCCACCAAAACCACCAAAAAGGACACCTATGTGATTGACACTGCAGCCCCTTGCTTTGAGTCTTGAGTTGGACCCGTGACTTTGAAGGTTGGTTTTTTTTACGTTGGTGGAACTTTCTCCAAAGAAGGGGTCAGCTTGGGTTATCCTGGCTGCTTGTCAGCTTGGGTTATCCTCAGGGGGTAGAGGAGTTCCTCAAACTTAAGAAGGGAATCTACGCGTCATCCAACCTTCCGCCGAAAGTGTTGGACAGAGTTGGCATTTGAATGAAAGGGCAACCAGGTTGACAAACATGCCCATGAGAAAGCTGTTCTCGTTGCTTGTGAAACACCGCCCAAGAAATGCGTTTCGCCTAGGCGAAATCACGTTTTGAGGTTTTCACGGATGGGGTGAGTTGCTGAAAACGCAGGGCGCGTTACGGGTGGTTGGCCACGTCGCCTGCCAAAAACATGTTCCGGATGCCTCAAATCCTCCACCTGACATCACGTTTTTGAAAGAAGCAGGAAAACAAAACTTCGTGTTTTCACGACAGGCCGCCATATGGCTCAGGCCGACATGCACAGACTGCCAGCTGCTGATACAGCGCTGAGCAGGGTGACTTGAGCGGGTGTGCTTATCATTTGACAGGGCGTGCATACAGTGCTCATACAGTGCTGAGCGGGGTTATTTGAGCGGGTGTGCTTATCATGTGGCAGGGCGGGGATGCAGCGCTGAGCGGGGTCGCTTGAGCGGGTGTGCTTAATTGGCAGGGCGTGGATGCAGCGCTCAGCGGGGTCGCTTGAGCGGGTGTGCTTGCCCTTTGGCATGTGGCAGGGCATGGATACAGTGCTCAGCGGGGTCGCTTGAGCGGGTGTGCTTATCATTTGGCAGGGCCTGTATACAGTGCTCAGCGGGTCCGCTTGAGCGGGTGTGCTTAATTATCATTTGGCAGGGCGTGGATACAGTGCTGAGCGGGGTCACTTGAGCGGGTGTGCTTATCACTTAGCAGGCGTGGATACAGTGCTGAGCGGGGTGACTTGAGCGGGTGTGTGCTTATCACTTGGCAGGGCGTGGATGCAGTCCTCAGCGGGGACGCTTGAGCGGGTGTGCTTATCATTTGGCAGGGCGTGGATACAGGTGTGCGAGGCGTTGCGCGGAGTGATGAAATATTGGTGACAACGCGTGTCGGAACCCTGCGAACAAACGAACCTGTGAAATGTCAAAATTGGCTAAACATGCAAAACGTCTAAAAACGCAGGGTACGGTCTGGGCGTTCTCACCTTAAACAACTCATACCCAAACGAGCCACGCACAAAATGCCAAGGGTTCCCCAAGGAGGCCATGGGCGCAAATTGGCTGTGGCTCAAGAACATGTACCAAACTAGAACCTTGAAGTAAGTGCCACCAAAGACTAAAACCCGCGTAACAATAGCCCTTCAATTTTGAGCCACACCCAATTGGGTTCCGTTCCCCCCTTGTTGTTATGTGAGTCCGGCCATTTTCCGACATGGGTCATACGCAAAAAAGGACACTTTGAACCAACCTCAGGGCTGTCTCAAGATAGGGGACCCTCAAGTTGGTAGGCTTCCTTTTGTGCCCCGTTAAACCAGGCTTAGAAGGGGACGAAAAGACACACCGATATTAGGCAGGGCATAGGTCGACATCTCGAGCTTCGGAGGTTTCTTGGATCACGGCGTGGACCGTCGGGATCGTCAGCCTGGCAGAGACTGAAGCTCTAGGTCGCGCCGAACCACATCCAAACCAGCGATGAAGGCCGAAGGTTGACCCCGGATGAATCAACCCCTGTTTATTATCAGGGTGTTCCCTCCAAAAGTTATATAGGGACACCCCCATATCAGAAAACAGGGGTTTTTTGCTCCGGGGGAGTCCAGAAGTAGAATACGCAGAAACAAGACCTTTTCCTTGTACTTGTCGAAACATTTCCTGGCATACATGCTGAGCCACCAATCAGTGTTGAACCCAACCATATTGTTTGGCTTGAAGAATCAAGTCAACAGATCATAGGGGGCGTCTTCTGATGCGTCGACTTGGCCGGAAAAATCGCGGATGCGTCGGCTGGCCTGGACCGGATCACTGCTGACTCTCTTTCGAAGCTGTTTCAACCTCGCAGCCGCTGAGCGGAACGTGTGGCCATGGAGAAGAGCCCCAGGGCCTTTCGTTCTGCTCCTCTTCCATGGATAAGTAGTGAGTCACCTGAGGTGGTGAACGCTCATCTCTGTCAGAGAACTGCTTATGTGCAGGCCGTGGTCATTGCTCTCTGAAAAAAGGAACCCAAGCAACACGGTCGTTGAATGGTTAGTGTTTTCTCGGGGTGGTGTAAAGGGAAACCAAAGGGACACATCGCGTTTTGGGGGCCCTCGTGTTTGGAAACATGCCCAAACGGATCTTCCACTAGAAAACTGCTACTTTGGGGGGCCATGCAAACATATGGCCATGGGTCAGAATCCCGTACCCCCCCCCCCAGTGAACATCCCAATCCCCACCACAATAGACTAAAATGGGTGGTGAATTCGCCTACCCCAAATGGTACCATTGGTTTTGACCAGGGCTGTGGGGAATGGAATCCACATCTGTGATACAACAGAAAGGGCCTAACCCCAAAGACTACTTTCTTCATATAAAGGGAGATTCCCAAAAGTATCACAGAAGTGGGGACCAACCCCGAGTGATCCCACAACCCTGGTTTTGACAACCACAGCCATATGGTTGAACGCACCATACCTTTTTTCCAGCAAACTCCAAGAGCCCGGCATGGTCCCTCACCAGGATGTGCGAGGCGGTCCCAGCGCACTGCACCTTCTTCTCGTGGCACATGACCTCAGCTTGACTAGGTCCAGAGTTGAGAGCTTAGAATAAGGGTACCGTTTCTTCTTTCTGTCTATTTTAGTGGGGGAAAAAAATGGGGCGAGAAAGGGCACTACTGAGGGACCTAGTTGAGACTTTGAAAGTTTCAACCCTGAAACAGTTTGACCATGTCAAAGAAGCGAATGTAGAATTGCAGCTCGTTTTTTCACATACCACATGGGCCTTACTTGCAAAAAGGGTGCACAGACTTGGAAACACGCATTGCCGTCACGCGCAGAGCAAGCCCCTCGCCGGTCTTTCCACGATAATCTGCGGGAACACCACGTGGAACGAAGCCTTGCGAGTCCAAGTCAGAAAAATGATGAACAACGCAGCTCACTACCTGTTGAGTGCTCAGCAAATCCAAAAAGGAACATACCGAAAAGAACACACAGGAAGCGCATCCGCAAAAAAGGAAAAAACACGATCAAGCTCGCCACCGACACCTTACTGCTCGGTTGACGGTCGAAGGGGAGCAACAAAAATGTTTTTGCAGGATTTCCCACTAAACCACAATAAGCAAAAATGTAAAATGTTTCCCAACAACAACCATGACTGGGACGTGCATAACCCACATTGCACCTGGAAATGCAGCCCCCCAGGGCAATAGCCAGGGGTGACCTAACCCGGCCTTGTAGCGGTTCGTAGCTAGGCATACGCCCGAGGAGCTAAATACGACCACCTGGTCGGCGGAAAGGCTTGAGTGTTTCAAGCAAGGCAGGGCCGCTAAAAATGCTTGAACAAATGTCGAGGCCCTTTCAGGACACATCCCAAGTAGGGTGCATGTGAGATTGGATTCTTAATCAGATTACTTGAACAATGGTTTGGGTTGGTGTGATTGAAGCAACCACCCAACCACCCCCTCGCTCGCCACCTCCAGGCCCGCGAATTGCGGATAGATCTTCTGCAGGGCACCAGCCTGCATTCCAAAAGTGATCCATCCCATTGCACCTCTTTCACGTCACACGCTTGGCAAACCCAAGGGATGGTTTGACCATGGAAACCTTCGGTTGCTTCAAACATGAGATAGGACTACCTGAAAGGTCCCATCCATCTTCACTTGGATTTGTGCGACAGGTAGAAAGATCAGGTACCTAGCTAAGATAGAAACACGTATCGATAGACATTGACTAGGTCAAATTATCCTTGATTCGATCTGCTAGGCAGCAGATAGACAGATAGATAGATAGATAGATAGATTAGATTAGGTTAGATTAGATTAGATTAGATTAGATTCAGATAGATAGATAGACTGATAGATAAAAGACGAAAGAACGAAAGAACGAAAGAAAGAAAGAAAGAAAGAAAGAAAAAAGAAAAAAGAAAAAGAAAGAAAGAAAGAAAGAAAGAAAGAAAGAAAGAAAGAAAGGAACAAAGAAGAGGAAGATGAGGACCAAAAAAAAGGAAAGAAGAGAAAGGGAAACGGACAGAGACAGAGAAAGAGGCAGAGACAGAGGCTATTGGTAACTGCCGTTGTCGCTGCTACTGCTGTTGTTGATATTGATCTTGTCGTGTTCTGTTTGTGTTGGATTTATTGTCGTTGTCGTTGTCGTTGTCGGAGTGTGTCGCTGTCGCTGTCTCTGTCGCGCTGTCGTCGTCGCTTGTCGTTGTCGTTTGTCGTTGTCATCGTCGTCGTTGTTGTTGTCGGGTGCGGCTGCGGCTGCGGCTGCCACTGCCGCTGCTGCTGCTTTTGATGTTGCTGTTGCCAGTCTGTTGCTGCTTGCTTTTTCCTTGCTTGCTGGCTGGCTGTCTTGCTAGCTGGCCGGTTTGGTATTCATTTCTCAGAGAAACACGCAGAAGCACATTGAACATTCTTCAAAACACTTACAAAGCCTATGCCAGACACGACCCGAAGAAATGTGTGCTCTCAGCGAGGGCCCGTAAATGCACATAGCTCGGGAATCGTTTGGTCTGTCTTCACATAGGGAGTCCTATGGCTTAGAGGACGGCCAGCACCTGCCCTTTGGGCCCCTCTCCCTACCGTCTTTGTGCAAACGGAGTCGCATTCTGCGCGCGAGATGCCACTTCCGTTCCTTGAGGATACCCTTTTTGGGATGGCGTTTACAATTCAGGCTTTTCGGGGTCCCCGCGAAACAAAGCACTGTGGATCCTTTATCATTCTCAAGATCTGAACCGCTGCCTAATCTGCACAATTCACCACATGCTGCCGGCTGCAGTGATCGTACATTGCTCTGCTGCGCACAGCCGAACGCATTGTCTGCCCGCACGACGGTGGGGTATTGACGGTATTGACTTTTCATCTGGGGATCTACCCCAGTTGTGACAATTCAGGCCCCAAAGCTGCGTATCGTCGTTTTTTTTTTCAAACAAACTAGTCGCTCAACTGAGATGCCAGCCATGCTGCCGAGAAGCACATCCACATCTGCGTCATCCTGAGACTTGCCATCCAGGGATCAGCTTCTGCATCTGATATCTCGCATGCGAATCTGTTGGCTTGCTCCGACTCGAGGCCCACCTGGCCCTTGACACATGCGGGCGGACGAAATGGGCTCGACCCCGCGTTCTCAAAACCTGTCCGATGCCAACCTCCAAGCCTCCGGCAAAGGAATTCAGGCCCGGCCTCACGAGTGGATTTGGCGGTGTTGGCTGTGTTGGCTATCGGCAGACTTGTTTTGCCCTGGTAGCTGCTAGTTCACACACCTTGGCTTAGTAGGTCTTCGAACCGTTCGCGGCCTCCCGAGCGCATTCACTTCTCGGCTCGCAGGCGCATTCAATTTGGGGTTCACGCGCGCTTCATTTCGTGGCAGGCGAAAAGGTACTTTGGGCTGGGCTGGGCTGGGCAAGTTTAGACCTGCAGAAAAATGGCCGAACGCCCCAAGCCCCCTCCCCCCGCTTGAGCGTGCTCCTGAAAAAGCGAATCGCTCCCTTGAGTCTCAAACTGCGTGGAACCCCGCCTGAGTCGGCCACCCCTCGGCCACCCCCCTTGAGCTCTGGGCTCGTCCGGCACCTCACCATCCAGCTGGGAGCCATACATGTCGATGTCGAAGTAGAGCGCGTACGACCTCACCCCAACTTCACCGACCAAAACCCAAGTTGCGATTGAAATTCTACCATCATGATGCTGGTGTTTGGTAGTTTGACAGAATCAAGCCTCCACGAAACCAGAACCGTAGGACCACCTATCCAAAAGGGCCGGAGCTCGCTTGCACTCGGGTCTTTGAGACTGCCGGTCTGCGTTCAAAGTTGACTTCATGCCTCTGAGGGCCGAACTCGGCCTGTCTTGCCAGCCGCACTTCTGGAGTACCGTCATCGTACCTGGCTCCAATCATATCGCCATGGGTCAAAAGCCCGTACCCCCGGTGAACATCCCAATCCCCACTAGACGAAAATGGGCGGTGCACTTACCCCCAAATGGTACCATTGGGTTTGACCCACAGCCACATTCATTCCAAGCCTCAACGAAAAGGCCATTTAAGTACGCCGATAACAGCGACGTTCACGAAAAAGAGAGAGCAGTCCATGGGACCAGCGTTGTGCCCAACAAGCCTTGAGGCCGCTTCCTTGAAGTAACGCCATTACCAGTAGAAGTTCTTGACTAAGGGGCACTTTTGTAAAATCGCATCGTACATTTGCGTCTTCTCATCCACTTTCTTCTCATCTCGGACCCGCAAGGACCTGTGATCCCGGCTTCGCGTTCGCAACGGACACCGCGACTCTCCATCTCCGACTGAGGCAAGCGCATGCGCACTGCATCAAATCCAGAAGCAGCGATTAAAAAAGGCAGAAAAAAGGCCGGCCTCAGTGGATGCCAATCGTAGACCATGGATGTATATGGGAAGACTTCATGAGGTAATGTGGCTTCACACTGATGTATTGCTGCAGCTATTTGTTGTATCGATGGAGGGATACATGGAAAACTTAGGAAAACCGTCGAGCTCATTCACGCGTTTCTACATTCTGGGATGATGTCCAGGATATAGGGCTTTGTTGGAACGGGGATCTTGGTGGACATCATTCATGGGTCCACCCATTCTTGACAGTTCAAAGCTACCATAGCTATATGGCTGTCGGTCAAAAATAGGTACCCGAAATGAAACCCTTGGAAACAAGGACTAAAATCTGCGGTCCCCTGGTGGTTTAGTTTTGACCCATACCCAGATTGTCCTTTTAGACATCCTGCCACATAGAAACCACCATCTTCCCAAGGGGAGTGGTCTTTAGTCAGCCGTCGGAGAGCGTGATGCCTGGATGGAGCCCAGATCGAGTTTCTCGAAGAGAAGTTCCCTTGGCGAAGTAGAACTTTACAGCTCAATCTGAGTTTAGATGGTATCTGATAAGGAATACGTCCAATCCAATCATAATATACATTAGACTAATCTGAGTTTCGATTGAGTCTGAGAAGGACAACTTCCAGCAATAAGATACGTTAAACTCGAATTCAAGTAACACTGCTTCTATATTTCAAATATGAACTTTAGTATTCCACAGGATGTCCTGTCCAGTAGACTGTTTCTTTTTTTTCAAAGAGTTCAACTTGAATTTCCATTCTAAACTGGATGTGCAAGTAGGATCTTAAATTTAGAAAGATCGATTTTGCTTGCCGAATAGAACTTTACAATTCGTTTTTAGTTGAGACAGAATTTGATAAGGAAATAATCTAATCAACAATTATATTTTGAATCAGTATTCAAATGATGATTATGGTATTTCAAATTAGAACATGACCCCGATGTCCTTTCCAAATAGACATTTCTTTAGAAATCAGCTAATGGCTAACATTTTAAACACATTCGATTCAATCATTGTTCAACTCGAAATTCCATGTTAAACTGGAATCAGCAGGAATTCCTTTCAAAACAACCATATCGATCAACCCTGTCCAATGCCAAAAGGCAAAAAACAACTCGACAAAACCACAAACAGAACCAACCAAACCGAAGCCATTCTCTCAGAACTTGGAACAGTGAGTGGCTACTTCTAGAGAGAGTGTCTGAGGCTTTTTTTGTGGTTTTGTTTTCTTTGCTTTTGGTTTTCTCGAGGTTTTGTTGGTCTTTTGGTTTTGGGCAGGGCTGATCCACTGGACAAACTGTCTGAGATGGTTTATGTTTTAGTTGATTTGTTTCTGTTTGTTTTTCGTTTTGTTTTGGGTGGTGGGGGTGTTTAACTGTTTGTTGTTTCGGTTTTCTCGAGTTGATTGAATGTGTGCTTTTCGGGCACGGGACTGCATTTGAACAGCGGAACACACACACACATTGATATACATTCAAGAATCCCCTGTTTTGTTTTTTAAAAGGTGTGGCAAACACATGTCATTTGCATTTGTTTTACGGCCCATGGTGAGCACGTACTTGAATCCATCTCCGACCCTCACTGAACTGTCCACTGGCCAAAACCTTCATTGGGCTCGCTCGCCCTTCACTGGGAGGGTGCGGGTGGATCGACATGGGCGGCTCGTCTTCTTTGGAGGATACCCCGTCCCCGTGGTTCTAACGGCAAACATGGCAAACCAAAAGGAAAACCGAAAACCAACGTTTTTCTTTGTCTTGCGGGGGGCGTCCCCGAAAAAGAGACAAACCCATCTGCAAGCAAAGAGTGATCCATGCAGAAGGTCGCAGGGAAAAAAAAACTACTGGCTCAATTGAAGCAAACCTTTCTCAACTAGGTCCTCCAGTATAAGGTTACCATGTTTTTTTCTGTAGTCTATTTTAGTAGGGGAACCTTCCCAACCACAAAAGGGGTTAAAAAGGGGTTAAAAAGGGCACCTAGCTGGGGGACCTAGGTAAGTAGCAAATGGCTGAATCACATGTAAATGGCCACGGCAGCCAAGTTAGTCATACTCAAAACCCGGGTGATTAAAATGGTCGTAGTCCCAGAACCATGCTTCAAGAAATAAGAAGGCGGCCGCACCCATTTATGGCAAGGGGATTGTCCCTTACTAACCTTCATCTACCCGGGTGTTGAGCAAGTGGCTCAAGTGAGCTCGTGCCGCAAACAAAAAAAATGCTGTGGACTGAGACCAGCGCCGATAAAGACTACATCCAGCAGTGGCAAGCAAAGATGTCAAAATTGAGACCCGCCTCAGTTGACGCTCCCCCCTCAAAAAAAAGAGTAAAAGAAAGTCACCGCTTCCACTGCAGTGTCTCTCTGTCTCTCTCTCTCCCTCTCTCTCTCGCGCTCACTTTTTTTCCCTTTCCGGCTCTCCTTTTCTATTTGTTGCTCTCTGTCTCTCTCTATCTTTATCTTTCTCTTTATATGTGCCTTGTTTCTGCTAATTTATCTTTGTGTTCCTTTTGTTCTCTATTCATGTGACAGTCTGTCCACGTGCCGCTTTGTTCATTGCTTCTGTTACTTCTTTCTTCTATCCTGCCTACCTGCCTTTCCCTGTTTCTGCCTTTATGCGTGTATATATATATATATGTATATATGTATATGCCCTTCTTTCTTTACTGTCTTTCTTTCCTTCCCTTGCTTCCTTCCTCTATTTCTTCCTCGCTTGCTGTCATTCTTGTCATTGTATCCTTCCTTCTTTTTGTTGTTTCTTTCTTTATTCATTTATGATATGTATTGACTCCTTTCGTTCTTTCTGTCTTTATTGCCATCGCTCTTCCTTTCGCTCTTCCTTTCCTTCTTTGTTCCTTCCTGCCTTCCGTTGATGCTTTCTTTATCTATTTCTTTCTTTCGCGATTTCTCTCTTTCAATAGTCTGTATTGCGTTCTTGCTGTTCGTTTGCTCCTTTTGTACTTCTCAATTTATTTGTCTTGTGTATTTGTTTCATTCATTTTTGCTTGCTTTCTTCGTTCTGTCTTTCCTTCCTTCCCTCCTTGCTGCCTTCCTTGCTGCCTGCCTTCCTTCCTGCCTTCCTTCCTTCCTTCTTCCTGCTTTCTGTCCTTCTTTCTGCATTGTTGTCGTTTGTTTTTGCTACTTACTCTATCATTGATCTCTTCTCTCTGCCTCTAGTTGCTTACTTATGCATCCATGATAAATACTGCTTTCTCCGTCTCTTTTGTTTCTTCCCTCTCACTCTCTTTCTCTCTCTCTCCCTCTCTCTCTCTCTCGCTGTGCGAGCCCACACCTTTGCCTTCTCGAATTGCTGGCAAGCCTCACCCACTGTGCCGCCCGGCAAAGTCAGCGGGCTGTAACTCGGCATGCGCTAAGCAACGAGCCTTTCGGTCAAAAGTCCAGGGGTGCTTGTACATACCCCTTTTACATACCCCTTGGAAAAATGAACCCAAAAGGCCTGCTGATGTTCATACCCCTCTCCCCAAAAGGGGTATATACCCCTTATGTAGTGGGTTGGAAACCACGGAAGCCAAGGGGTATGAACAAGGGGTATGCTCTTCCACCCTTGGAAAAAGGTGTGTTGAGGAAATCAATAGTTGCTCCTATGGCGTGTTTACATCGTTGCTCGAGCAGTTGCTAAAAAACCTGCGTGATAGTGAGTGCACGAAGAGATCATCCAAAATATACACCAAAAACATGGTACCCAGGCCTACACGAGCCCGTGCGTCTTTGGCAGCTTTCTCTTGTCATTACAAAACTGAAACATCATTAACATAGCGCGGGTACGCACAACACGTGCAGTGCATGCTTGCCTGTCACAGAGAGGCTCATGGCCAAAGTGACTGACGTGGGCTGGAGGGGAAGGGGGGGGTAATGGCCCTTACGCTTGAGATAGCGCCTGGAGATTGCAGCTCGCAAGGCAAAAAAGGGGGAACAACAACTCCCCTTGATTTGGCTTTTGCCCGCATGGCCTTTGCATCGACGGCCCATCAAGGATTGCACGGTAAGCTAGGCAAGTTGTGTCAGGCCAGGCATCTGTGATTTGGGGACAGTAAGCTGCATCTTTGCACCTCGAAACTTTCTGTGCGCAAGACGGACAAAAGCTGATGCAAATAGGCGCAAATGGCAGGGTGTCGTGGGGTGTGTGTTGGCAAAACCGTCTTGTGTTTTTTTTTCTGGTTTTGTGCGACAGCTGTTCCTGAGTGTGTTTTGCTGCTGAGCGAACAGGCAGGGGCTCCTGTAGGCGCCGGGTGCCCAACGACATGCATACTGTGTATACATGAGCGCACGTGCATGCGTGATTCTCAGGATTGAAAGAGACTGACCTGCATGTGCTGCAATCCAATGAAGGCCCATGACACATCGAGAATGACTTGCATTTGCTGTAGTAATGAAGGAATGAAGAGAGTGACACATCAAACGTGGACTTGCCACTGCCCGCATGGTCACGCTCTGGGATTGCGACCTGGCAGACAAGCTTGCCTAGGCCGAGTCAGGAGACTTGAGCGTCAAAACTCCGTGAATCCGCATTTAGGATGCACCAAATGCCCTTACATGGCCTCTCACAAAATGAGGGACCTCCAGGAATGCGTGTTTCTTTTTTTGTTTTTGTTTTTTTACTTGAACAACTCCTGTTGACGCCATTCAACAGTTGGGGCTCGTTTCTTCTGGAAGAGAAGTGGGCAAAGGATGTCGGATGTCGAAGGCTGAACCTTGACCGCGCCTTCCAAGCCGTCGCCAAGCCACGAAACCTCAGAGTCAAGACACCAAAGGCACTTGGAACTCGGTGGCTTTCTGCTCCGCTGAAAGTGAATAACTTTTAGTGGCTTAATGGAAATGAGTTGGCAAAAAGCTAAAGCATAGGTGTCCTTTTAGGGGAAATAGATGGGCTTCCCTGGTAGATGATGAAACCGCCAGGTAATCCAGGGCCATCTATTTTTCTAGCACAACAACCAGAAAGGACACCTATGGTCCTAGCATCCCTTGGCAAAATTTGCACCAAAGCAAAGAGACGTGTGGGGGCAGTGGATGCAAGGTCAGGAGTTTCTGAGGAGCCCAAGGAGCTGAGTCCTGAGTCGCATTTTCCCCATACCGTGGGTGGTTGCGAAATCCCGATTCGGCACCACCGTTCAGAAACCTACGGCATTTGATTTCCCCCAAGGTAAATACCAACGAACAATGGTTTCAACAGGTAGTTGGAAAGAGATGCGGGGCAGTGGATACAAGGTGAGGAGTTTGTGACAGCCCAGGTGCTAGCAGGTACAGCCAAGGAGCTAAGCCACCCTGAATCAAACAAAAAGGATTTGTCCATAGGACACCACACAAATAATGAGTTGCGCTTGAGGGCAAATAGGGTCGGGTGCCTCAGTTGAGTCGAAATCAAGCCGGATCGGCATGAGAATAGTCACACTCCCAGAACCATGCTAGAGTTAAGAAGGCGCAGATCCGCATCCATTTGGCTATGGGTCAAAATCTCGTACCCCCAGAGTCTCCATGACCCTTTAAAAATGAGGTCATTACCCTGAATAATGGGGTCATGGACCAATTTTTGAAGGGTCATGGAGACTCTAGGTACCCTTTATCTACCCGGGGTCTGTATCAACATGTCTCAGCGCCATCCGTCTCGATGCCGATCAAAATCCGGGTGCCGCGCAGGGCGCGCAGCGCTCGGAACAGGGGAGCCACTGAATGCGCAGAAGCCACGGGCAGCCTGGCGCTGGGAGCGAAAGCAGTCGGGAACCCTTTGGGAAGAAAATGGCAGTGGGCCAAAAAAGGTACCCAAAATGGAACCCTGGCCTAAAACCTGCGGTCCCCGTTGGCTTAATTTTGACCCATACCCAAATTGCTTTAACACTGATACAACACTCCTATAGCAGTGCTGGGGGTGGGGGGGGTAGGGGGGAGGGTTAGGGGGGGGAGTGAGGCCCACTGCCGGGCTACCTATCCCAGATGATTGGAGGATGGATTGTCCCTGGTGGATTGTCTTGTGGATAATCCTGTAAGCGGCCTGCAAAGGTTCTTTTGTAACGCGATCATGAATGATGCAATGTTACACAAAAGGGGCCTTGAGCCAAATGTTGCAGGAGATCAAGTGTTCAGTAAACCAAACACAAAACAGACACGGATTTCTTTTGATCTCCAGCACTAAGTATGAAATACTATTGGCTTCATGGCCTTTGGCCGTAGCCTTGTTGTATGCCGTAGCCATGCTGTATGCCGTAGCCATGTGTATTAAAAATGCCGGATTCATCCTCTTTTCTGCTCGGATGAAATGTCTTGGCTTTCGAAATGGAAAACACTATGTACTATTTCTTTGAGATACCTAGATGTATCAAATGGTGATGCACAAAGCTATGTACACGCGGGACGATTGTGAAACTATTGATCTCTCACTGTATAGTCTTGTAGGCGGTGAGGATCAATCATCTGAATTGAGTTCGTGGTGCTGAACGTATGAATCTTCATGGTCAGTCGGATCGAGCTGCTGTCGGATTGACTGCCATAGTCTCCATAATCATTCCAGGTCGAGGTGCTATAGTCCTTCCACTGCTTCTGATTTCCCCACTGCTTGTTGTAGTCCTTGTACTCCTGCGCAGTCCAGGCTTGTTTCTTCTTGAGGTACTCCTGGTATCTCTCAGAATTGCGTTGCCTGGTTGCAGATTTGCTGCGGATGTAGACCATGAGGGGACTGTGCGAGTCGGAGTCCTGCGATTCATGAACATGTCATTGTTCACGTACTTAAAGCGCTCTGCGGATGAGACCTGGTAATCGAATATGGCCTTGGTTGGATCGTTCCGCATGAAGTCCAGTTGTTCATCTTCCATGCCGTTCATCTCGTCCTTCCGGAAAGCCTGCTGGATGTTCGTTTTGCCCCATCCAAATATGAAAGTCATCATCACATCTGGGAATGTTCGATCATATCCTGATCCACACTTCATGTACAGGTGATGACGGACAATGGATTTCAGGGTGCACGAAGTCGCCATTGCATACTCCATTCTGTCCACGAGTGGCAAGTTCTTCGTTTCATTCCACAGTCTCTGATATGCTCTCATGAGGATGTTCACGAGACCGTTGGCCGGATTGAAGACGTGCTGGAGTTTGCTGTAGGTATTCGCTGATGTATTGGCGTCTCCGGTGATCGCATCGCATCGGTACAAAGTCACGAGCGGCATGATTTCATTCTGAAGATCTTCCCGTGCTGCTCCTTGGCTAATTGAAGGATGAATGTGGAAAACTCCAATGGTAGCAAACGGGAGGTCTGCCCTCGTTACGTGGCGGTTGTCAAGCTCGAGGAGTGGTTTGTTGGTTGATTTCGGGAGCATGCCACGAAACTCATCACTCTGCTCGATATGGAGAACGACAATCTCTTTGTCTCGGCCATGTCCTTGGACAATGGTGCGTGCTGGCAATCTCGGTCCAATGTACTTCTTGGATTCAGTAAACATGGATGGTCCCGTAGTTGCCAAGCAATCCGAGGTCGGAATTTCGTATTTGGGATCAGTGCAACTTCCTTCGGTTCCGAAGAAACATCTGAACATTCCGAATGTGGTTCCCCAATTCTGACTCTTGGTGGAAATGTGTCTTGCCAGAAGTTCCACTCTTGCAGAAGGTCCGCCACGGACAAAGCATGCGATCGGTCTGGATGACCATTGCTTGATCACGATGCCCTTGTACCCGAATCGGATGAACGTCTTGATGAGCTCCCTGGATTTCTCATCATTAGGACTGAAGAATGCGTCTGCTTCATTCAGGCATAAGATGTGTGCACTGTTCTGCATCATCATCTTCACGATTGGTCGATCCTTCATCGGCATGTTGTACACCTCCCTGTTGTCCAGCTTTGGATTCCTCGTGAGGTTTCCATGGTTCAAGGTAAGCATGTTGACAGCTATGGATGAGGTGAACGCATGCAATTGAGATAGTTGACAGGAGGACGGTCGGTCGGCTGCATCAGCGATCCCAGGATGTCGGCATATGCTCGGATGATTTCCGGGTCATCATGTGATCTAAGCTTCTTCAATCCACGTGGAAGCTTGATCGGCTAGCCGGATCCTGGTTGCGCTTGCTTGTACTCGTCCATAGTGGGACATTCTCCTCGATGAGGGAAATAGAATTCTTCTTCTCCGAGATTGACATCGGGATCGACATGTGCCAATGAGGCTCTCTCGCACTCTGTCAATTTGGGATGAGCTCTTCTTGGATCTTTGTTGTGCTTGTTCATGAAGCGGAGTAGGCTTGCCTTGGTCTCCGCGAGCTCTTCCTCTGCGTCCTTTTTGTTCAAATCTGTTTCGAGATAGATTGCCTTGAGTTCTTGGATGAACTCGTCTAGGTTCTCTGAATTATGATGTTCCACGGTGACCTTTGGTTTGACGGATCTTTCCCCGGAGGGTTCCATGGTCTCTTCTTCAGCTTCGTCCTGATCGGTGGAATGCCGTCGCTTCTTGGTCTCTGAGGAAGTATCTTTTTCCTTGCTGTGCTTTGTGGAATTCACATAATTGAAGAAGGCATCGGCAAATTCACGGGTCTTGGTGTCGTACATCTCGTAATCTTCATAACTGAGATGCTTCTTCATGATCCACTTGTTGCTCGCCATGAGGCTGCCATCAGGTTCAAATGCTGCAACAATGTTTCTTGCCTCGATGGTTTGATCTGTCAACGCTGTTCGCTCTTCGGAGAGTCGGATGCCATAGTCTTGGTCCTTGAGGAATGCAAGGATCAACAGTGCATCTCTTCCTGCTGGCACATGGGTCAATGCTGCTTCTGACTCATCATCGTCAAGGATGACGTCATCGATGCATGCCATGTGGACGTGCATTCTCCCCGAAGGGTTTAACTGGGATTTGCCAGATTTGAGCCCGTTCTCCATGATGCTGAGGAGCTGATTTCCATAGGTCGCATGGAACATGAATGTGATGGGCTTCTTCGCGAACGGCTTGATTTTTCTCTCTTCTTCAATGGATGGTGGCGCCGGCCTTCGCATTCTGTGCTTGGGCTGAGCTGTGCAGCTGTGCCTTCATCTTCATGAGGCGCCTCGGATCTTGACGGATGCGGACTTGGTGGAATGGATTCCGTTGGGATCATAGTCCGGTTCGTCGTATTGAGGCTCTCTCTGCTGCTCAGAGTACAGGGGTCGTCCAAAGGATTGGATCTCGACTTGTCGTGTGTGTCCGCTATTGCATCTCACGTAGAACTCCATCTCTGGATCGACATAGAATTCCTTGCCATCGGGCCGGAGTGCTTCTTGTGCGGATCTCGTGTTGAGCTTTTCGATCCACCGGTTCCTTGGAACAATTTCTCCCCGTGCCTTGCGTTCCTTATATGACCCGTCCACGGATGGAAACACGAATGCAATTTCGAAACGTGATTTTCCATAGCTCGGGAACATAGCCATCAAGAGAAGTCCTGGCTTATTTCCAATGAAGTTCCTGGCATGTGTGATGCAGGTCAATGCGTCATAAAGCTCAACGGATCCATCAGGACCCATGTCCACTTGTCGTCTGCATTCCTTATGGATACCATGCCTTGGATCATGTCGAAGACATCCGGAAAACGATCTGCTCATTCTCTCAATTCGCCAGAGGATGAGGTCGGTGATCTGTTTCGCCTTGGATGGATCCATGTGGAAATATTTGCAAACCTGTTCGACATTCTGGACGGTCTTCTCGAGATCAATGTTGCTGTTGTGGCATACCATCGGGATGATGTCGGTTCCGTAAACTTCGGATTGAGCATTGGTGTAGCAGCAGATGCTGTAGACCTTCTAAGTCCATGTATTGCTTGTCCGTATGAGGTCCTTCACCTTGGAGTGTTGGCTGCCAGTAATCGTTGAATCTGGCCTTCAACCAAAATACTTTGACTCCATGTGGTCGTTCATGCTCAGGGATGAAGTGGAAATCCGGATTGACGTCGAGGATGGTTGAGCATTCTTTGTAGCACTCGTACACAAAATTCAGGAATTTTGAGTTTCCGAAAGGTCTGGGTGTACGGATTCCTTCTGGAGGCTGATGTCTGTATCCGATCCATATGTTACAAACCACCGATCATTCGATGTGAGAACTGGCCGCATCGCTGGTCGCCTTGGAAGTGCAGGTCGATCACCAGGATGATTGTCGGATTCCGTCTCTTCATCCAGGATGTTCTTTGGTGCTGGCTTGACCTTGGAGACAAGCCTCAATGCTGGTGGCGGTGACTTTGGAACAAGTTTCGGATGTGGCATCGCCTTTGACGTAGGCCTTCCTGCGGGAGGATGCCCTCCTTCATCTGAATCATCGTCGTCGGAATCTGGATCATAGTCAGCCTGCTCCATGTCGACATTCTCGGGTTGTTGAGAGGCGGATGGATTCTCATCTGCGACTTGCTCCATGGGGCAGTCGGATGTCTCATCTTCCTCATCACGAGCAGGGGATTCCTTCAACGGAGATGCCCGTCTCTTGATCATCGGCTTTGGCAAAGGTGCCGCGGCGCTGGATCGTCCGAAGATCATGTTGAGAATGGGCATGTCTTCGAAATGATCAGCATACAAGATTGCAAAGGTCGGATTGGTTGTAAACCGAAAGTGGCTGCGGATGCAGACACATATTTCTTGAGATTCAAAATGGGTTAAGTGCTAAAACACGCATCACGTATTTGAGGAATTGAAAATGCGCAAAACGGAAAAACTCATGCATCAGAATTCGTGGACATGCGGATCATGCCCAGGTTCCCCAA